CTCAATTACTGTTTTTTAAAAAATGGTAAGAAATACACTAATTGACTAGAAATATAAGTTTTTTATATTCTAAGTGTGAAAAGTAAGTTTCTGAACAACTTATTTAGGTGAATAAGATAAAGATGCCTATGTATGTTGTCTGACTACACAAAGAAACAACTTTAGAAAGATACACATGAAAATGTTACTGGTTCAGTGGAACCCTTGAAACTATGGCCCCTAGCTGCCCTTCAGGTCTGGAATTGAACCCACTCCTGTGGCTTCCAGCCAAACAAAAGACAGGCATATGAGCTGAACATTTATATTAAGTAGATACACTCCTTGGAGAGATCAATCATGGGAGAATAGACGGGCTGTGTATGTACAGGGAGACAGCTGGCGGGGGCAGGGGTACATGGGAAGGAAGGACACAAGGAAGAGGTCACTATGGGGAGGAAGTGGGAAGAGAGCTGTTGCATTGTGGGAAATTGCAGTCAATGTCATGAAACAGAGTGTATGTGAACTGCTGTATGGAGGATGAATTTGCTCTGTAAACTTTCACCCAAATCATAATAATTTTTAAATGTTAATGATTCAATGAATAAATTGCAAAGAAATGAAAGATAGAGGGAAACTTTTACATTAAAAGAGTTTAAAGAGATATCAGCCAAAAATACAAAAATATGGACCTTAATTTAAATACACATGCAAATAAATTAATAAAAGTGTGTGTGTGAGAGAAAGAGAGAGAGAGAGACAGAAAGAAAATGAATTGGAGAACTGAGAACAGATCGGATGTTTGATGGTATCATGGAATGACTATTGATTATTATCAGTGCTTATGTGTCTAGAATATAGAATTATCATTTAAAGATAAAAAATGAAGATCCAGATGAAATTATATGATGCCTGGGATTTGTTTCAAAATAATCCAAGGAGAGATGAAGGTGAGAATATAAATGGAACTAGATAGAGCATTGGTTGAAGTTGGATAACGGGATCATAGAGGTTCATCGTACCATTTTCTCTATTTTTGTATATATTTGAAATTTTCCATCATTGAAAAAAAATGTTAGCAGTGTTTCTCCCTGGGATGGAAATTATGAGTGACTTTTCTTTTAAAAAATTTCCTGTTTCTCACATTACTATAATGAGGATTTATTGTTATATAAGCAGAAAAAGATTAAGTTGCTATTTGTTTATTCATTGAATGACTCTGCCTGTACTGAGTAAGAGCAGAGATGGTGTCTAACAGGAGGGGGAAAGGAAGTGGACCTGGATTTGGGGAAGGGTCATGGAGCCTTTAAAGGAGAGCAAGATGGAGGCCTGGGGAAGCCAAACAGAGACCTCCTCCTCGGTGCAGAAGCTGAGAACAGTGGCAGGCGAGGCCTGGGACACAGCCTGAGAAGGGAGAACTGCTTGCTGGGCTCAGAGCTTGGGACAACAACTGCTGGGACCAGAAGCCAAAAGGATGACCTGAGAAGGATTATTGAGGCAGAGGGGAGAAAACCTGGTAGGCAGAGACTTTTTGATGCTTCAGAATTTGTCTCTGTTGTCCAGGCAATGTAACCCAGTGCTGGCTTGAATTGAACCAGGTTTACTAAAAAACTCAACACTAGCCCTTCTCTAAACCTGGTGTGCCCAACCAGACTGGTCTCAAGAGCACTGGACAAAATGGTGGGGAAGAAGAAGGCAAAGAGGCAAGGGAGGGCTGGAGGCAGGGATAAACTGAATAAGAGAATTCTCCTCTCTTTAGTCCCTTACTCCAATTTACTCATCAGAGTTGTTATCATGTGCCGTCGAGTCGTACCCAACTCATAGTGACCCCTCCTTGGGTTTCCGAGGTGATATCACTATGGAAGTAGATTGCCCAACCTTCCTTCTGGGGAGTGGCTGGTGGGTTCGAACTGCCAGCCTTCTGATTAGCAGTCAAGTGCCTTAGGCACTACATCAGCAGAGCTCCTACTCGTCAGAATGGCAAAAAGAAAAAATTCCCTATCATTCTGTTGATCCCAAGAGGACTCACCACAGAATCTTTGCATATGCTCTTCCTCTGCCTGGAATGCTCTTCCCACTTTCCCTCACCTTATTAATTCCTACTCTTTCTTCAGATCTCACCACAATTTCATTTCCTCCTGGATATTCTGCTGGCTCCCTGACTAGTTCAAATCTCTATTATATGCTCACCAGTGGATACTACTCTTCGTAGCACTTATAAATAGTGGCAATCTTACATTTATTTTTGTGATTATTTGCTTATCGTATGTCTCCCTCAACACACTGTAAACTCTTTGAGGGCAGAGGCCATGTCTGTTATGTATTCCCCACACCTAGAATACTGCCTAACCTACAATTGGTGCTTAACTGTCTGTTGAATGGATAAGGGAGGGCAGTTACTGGACTGGGACCCTGATATTTAGTTCATGTTGGGAACTTTGGAGCTGAATCAAAAATGTCTGTCACATTCCTCTCAAGTTAACTGAGTAACAGCTCCTGAGCCTTTTTCTCTATCTTCAAGAACTACCAGCATCCTAGGCCACCAACCCTCTCATTTGATGAAAAGGTACTTGAGGCAGGGATAAGGCACTTAAGATAGAGGGTACACCAAAGGCAATTGGTGGGCTTCCAGATTTATCAGTGAATTCTGCTCCAGGGCCAGTGTGTGGCCTAGGCTAGGAATGAGTAAAGGGAAGACAAACTGTCCAATACTTACTATCTGTCAGGTCGCAATTAAAAATCACCTCCCCAACAAGCCTTCTCCACTGCCCCTCTACTTTTGTGAATTAAACTCATATTACCTGCTTCTTTTCCCAGAACTTAACTATGATTTATAATTACATATTTTAAAAGTTGGACTAGTTGTTAATTATCTGCTTTCCCTGTTGGCCTGGAAGCCCAAGAATTTCGGGATTGAGTCTGCTTGTTTATTCTTATAGCCCAGTGTCTAGTACAGGACCTGGCTCATAACAGATGCTCAATATATACTTGTTGAATGCATGAATGAGTATATGGATGATTTAATGGATAACCTGTGGAAGCCTAGGAAGGCAAGCAGGAGGAGACGGAAAAGCTAGGGTCAAGGCAGGGGCAAGGGCAAGGGAAGTCAAGCTCTCTTGTTTGCTGTCTTCTAGGGAGCTCTGGTAGCATAGTGCCTAAGGCACTTGACTGCTAACCAGAAGGCTGGAGGTTCAAACCCACCAGCTACTCCTCGGAAGGAAGGTTGGGTAATCCTACTTCCGTAGTGATACTGCCTCGGAAACCCAAGGAGGGGTCGACTATGAGTCGGGGCCGACTCGACGGCAAATAACAACAACAACAACAAGGGGTTTGGTAGGAAGCATGTTGAGATCCTGACACCAGTGACAGGACTGTGCATGCCCAGGAGCTGAAGTCTCCACCGTGTACCACGGATTCCTGCATTCTTGAGGCATTGAGGGCTTTGTTGTCGGAGGGGAGGGGGTACAGAAGAAGCTCGGTGTCTGTAGCATCTGGGGAAATGTGAGCAGCAAGTGCCTGACCAGCCAGGGAGGACACAGGGGAAGGTGGCCCAAGCCTCTGCCCTCTCTCTCTCCCTGTGCTCCTGGGAGTCCTCCAGGCTCCTGATGTCTAACAGGGAGGCCTGGCTAGGAGCCCATCCCACTCCCCTCAAACCAACTGATGGTCTTTCTGGCTGAAGTTTCCCTCCCCTCACCCGCAGGGGATTCCTGTCTCAGCAGGAATTCATACCAGATTGAAATGAGCAGCTGGAGCTGCCTGGGTGGGAGGGTGTATGGCTGCTATCAAAGGTCCCCGTGTATGAGGGGTAGGAGGAGGGAGAGAGCAGGGGGATGCATGTGTGTGCTGGTTGTCCCACAAGCACAAAGAGGCTGAGACAGGAACATAGAGTAAGACAGGAAGAGAGAAAGAGACAGAGAGATTCTGAGGCAGAAAAAGACAGAGAGATATACTGAGAAAATAGAAGCAAAGATAAAGAAACAGAAGGGCTGAAAATCAGAAATAGTGAGATGAAGAAATGAAGAGACTAGAGATGAAAGAACACAGGACACTGGGAAAAGATGAAAGAAGGAGAGACAGAAGAAATCAAAGACTGAGATGGAGAGATAGCGAAAAGGAGGAACAGAGGCTGAGACTAAGGAAGAGTCACATTTATTCATTCATTCCGTATTTATTGAGTCATCCAGGCACAGTGAACAAACAGCACAGATCAACACAAGCAGACACAAATGGTAGGGAGCAAGATGTACTAATAAAGACAGAAGCTGAGATAGAGTGAGAGAGAGAGAGTGAGAGAAAGAGAGAGAGAGAGAGAGAGAGAGAGAGAGAGATGCAGGGGAGGAGATAGAGACCGAAGAAGGACACAGAGAAAAGACTGTGGAAGAGACAAAAGGCCTGCAGATAGGGAGGCAGGACAACAGAGGTCAAAGGGCAGCCTGGCGGAGCAGCAGGACGAGGGAGACCTGGCCCTTGCCTCCCAAGGGCAGCTCTCCCTCCCCAGCCCAACCATCAGCTTTTCTGTCTCTGAGTTCCCCACAGCTGCCTGACCTCCCTCTCTCCCCTGGGCCTCCGCTCTCACTTTCAGGTTCTGGAGGAGGCCGGGTGCTGAAAGCCTCCTCCTACTCCTCCTCCTGTCCCAAGTTTCTCTGCCCAAACCCCAAGTCACAATGGAGCCCAGCCCAGCCCAGAGGAGTGGAGCATGGGTAGCTAATGAGCATAAAAAAGCCTGTTTACCCCTCAGAGGCCAGTTTAAGATAGTCCTTTAATCCCACAGAGGCCCCAGGAGATATGAAAAGGTATGCATGGGGGAGAGGGGGTGTCTGTGTGAACAGACTCTCCAAAATAGTCCAGGTGCCTCTACCTTCTGGCGTCTGTGTACCAGCCTTAAATAAACCAAAGCCTCCCTGAAATCTCGAACTGAGAGGAGCCATTTGTAGCAAATACTGAGCCCTTCCCCCATCTCCTCCCACGTCATCGCTGAGAAAATGCCGCAGAGAAGAGGGTGGGCTGGAGAATCAGTCACCTACCCGCTGGTGCCAGGTCTCTGGGCCTGAGAGAAACGCCAGTCCGTGTTGGGCGGGGCTTGCTGTGGAGAAAACAGAGGGAAAGGGGGGCTGAGTACCAAGAAGAGTCAGAATGTCCCCCGAGCCCCTGGAGATGGCCCGTGAGGGAAGGAGGGAGTGGGCACAGAGAAGGTAGAGGATGAGGGAGAAAATGGGATAGGGGACGGATAGCCGCATCTCTAAAGGCAAAATACACCCCAGGTCTCAGAAGGCTGAGGTAGGGGGATGATGCTCCAATTTAAGGTCCTTCCTCCCTGCCCCCAGAATCAGAATATCTGAGCGCAGAGATTCAAGGGCTGAAAAGCGGCTCCTGTGGGTCCAGGGGGAGGGTTGCAGAGAAGGTTCCTAAAAGGGACAGAGGAGGCTTTTAGATGAGAATTTCTTTGCCAGCCCTAGAATGAATTTATTCAGCTCCTCAGCTGGAAACAAAGCATCCTCTGCAGCAAGATGGCTGCTGCTCCGGGTAACCCTTTTGGTGCCAGGTTGTACAGTAATACATTCAAAGGGACACTCCCCCCACCCAAGCGCTTGATCCTCAAGGATCCCTTCCCACAGCTAAACCCACTGCCATCAAGTGGATTCCAACTCATAGCGACCCTGTGGGACAGAGCAGAAATGCTCCATGGGGTTTCCAAGGCTGTAAATCTTTATGGAACCAGACTGCCTCATCATTATCCCACAGAGCGGCTGGTGGGCTCGAACTGCCTACCTTTTGGTTAGCAGCTGAATGCTTTAACCACTGTGCCACCAGAGCTCCCTCCCACAGCTAAACACATTATTAATTTAGGAGTTATGCCAGACTGGGTCTTTGTAGGGCATCCAAGCCCCAGGACACCTCTCACCCACAGAGCTCCATGCCAGACAATGGCCTTTGACTAAGGAGAAGAGAACAAGACTGCTCTGTCTGGGACAGAGAAACTGTTGGGATGGAGCCCAGCAGGGGTCAAGCTCCCACAGTCTCTAAGCAGAACCAACTCAGTCTCCAGGGCTTCCAAGGGGCTGATCTGTCCTACCTGGCCCAAGGTGTGGGGCTCTGCAGCCAACCACTTCACTCCCAAGTCCCTCTGTCTTTCCAGAGGGTAAGTTCTCTCATCACACACTTTCACAGAGCACTCCTAGAGTCATCACCTCACTGGTTCTGGGATGTGCTGGTAATTAATTCTCATATTCACTTCCAGAAGCAGAGAGGGAAGTGTGAGCCTCTCTGATTACACTGGGGAAAAGGAAGACCCAGGGCTGCCCAATGACTCACCCGAAGGCTCACAGCAATGGGTGACAGCAATGGGAGCAGAACCCAGAAATCCAGCAACCCAAGTGCAGCAGGAATCACTGCTACCACTCAAGGGGCACTGTATTCTTAGACACAGCAGAATCTACACCGAGATGCAGAAATCGTGAGAGATTGGAGGAGAGGAACTGGACAAAAGTTACAACCTCCATAAGGACGGTGGGTCCAGATTTATTCAGTAAAGGCTGCTCTAAGAAGAGAAGCCCCAGAAAGCCTTTCTCCACATAAACCAAAGGTTATGGCCTAAAAGAGAAAGAACACACTTTTGCCCCATCGGAACAGATGCAAATCTGTCCCTCCTGTCCTCCAGTTTTATCAGTTCCAATTGCCAAGAGATTGAGTGCACACGTTCTGAAGTTAAACAGACCTGGGTTAGACCCTTTCTCAATCCCTTACTCTGTAAAACTTGAGCAAGTCATTTGATCTCTGTAAAACTCAGTGATACTATAGGGATACTAACACCTATTCAAAAACATTGTTGGAAAGAGCAATGAGATGTTACAGTTCTCAAAGGAGGTGTGTAGTGAGGCTCTCTCAACCAGCTATGTGAATCCCTGGGAGTGCCTTTTCAAAATATAATTCTGATTCAATAGGATCAGGGTAGGGCATATACATATGAATAAAAGCTTCCAGGGTTGTGCAAATGTGTGCTTTTTATGATTATGGTTTCTCCACATATGAGGGCATCCTGGTATCTAGCAGAGGCTTTGGCTCTCCATCACCAGAGGAGCATAGACTTGCTGGAGTCCCAGATACTTTGGTCACCCTCAAAACCCTGACCTTAGATCGTTGAGTACACTGTGGTCACGACGGAGCCAAAAGCCTAATTCTGAGTTTCCAGAGCCTGGGTGTCCCAGGCTGCCATTTCTTGCGGGGGGGAAAAAGGGAGCCGTTGGCGACACTGGGGTCCCAGTGCCTCCAGCCCTATAGACGCCTGCCCACTCGCCCCATGTCGGCCCCCGGTGCTCCGCGGACCACAGGCCAGCTTAGCTTGCTCAAGGCTTCTACGCTAGGGACCAGCCGCCCTCCCGCCAGGAGCGCCAGGCCCAGCCAAGTCTGAGGGCCCGCGGGTCACAGAGTCCCGCCCGTCCCGCGCCTAGAGCGCCCACAGTCTTTCCGGCGCCCTAGGCCCCTCAGCTCTGCGCAGGCCCGGCCTGAGGTGACCAGGTCCGGCCGGGAGCTGAGGTGACGGGATGGGAATCTCGAGTCCTCGCTGGGGTTTGAACAGCCGTAACCCGGGATCATCACGGTGATGAGTCCCTGAGGCCGACAGCAGGACGGGGCAGGGGCAGCCCGTGTGAACTAGGCAGTGAACGACTAGCAAGCAGTGAAAGCCTGTGTACGTGCAAGCCAAGTGCGAGGGGTGTGTGTGTGTGTGTGTGTGTGTGTGTGACTTTGTATGTATGAGAGGCGTGAAACTGAAGTGTGAGAGCCGGTGCGCTGGGTGTGGCCTGTAGGTGTGGCCTTCAGGGAGGACACGCGTGAGCCTTTGCATGCACACCTATGTCCTGTCTACAGATGCGAGAGCGCTAGTGGGAGGAGAGTTGAGGATGACAGTGAAGTCACAGTTCACTGTGGGAGTGGGGAGAAATGTAGCAGCAAAAGAACAGACCAGAGGAGCACCCTGGCGCCTAGGAGGCTGTCCGCCAGGGCGAATCCATGACTGCCTCCCACCCTCGACGCCGGCACCCACGGACATGGCCAGAAAGTCACCTCAAGCTCTGGCTGGGGAGCGACCTGTGTAGTTCGCGGCCCCCGCAGCCTGGCCTTTTGAGTGTGGGGGCGGGGCCTCCTCCCTCCTTCCCCCACAATCACCACCAGCTCTGGGCTTTCAGAGCCACGTGCCCCCTTTGGCCACTCCTCTGGTTCCGTGCAAATAGTCCGAGTGGCCCCTGAGTCGGGTGGAGCGCAACCAGGGCCAGGCCAGCTGGAGAGGAGGGATGCCAGTTCAAAGCCACTTATGTGGGCGGGCTGCTTCTCCAACGCCGCCCCCAGGGGTCGCCCAGGGTGGCGCTGAGCCCCTCACCTGGCTCCGCTCCAGCAGAGTATTAGAGCGGGACCGGAAGACCTCAGGCTCGAGCGCCAGAGCTGAGGGCTGCTGGACGCTGAGGGGCCTTAGAAAGGTGAAGTCACTGCCGTCCGAGGCTGGCGAAAAGCACGTCCTGTAGCAATGGCTCTGCGAGTCTGTGGGCCTCAGCGTCACCTCCATGTACTTGAGCGTGCCATCCGAGCTCACCTGCAGGTTGGGGCTGGACTGCTTATAGAAGTCCCGGCAGGGAGACTCTTGGCGCCTGCAGCACTGCCCTCCACCCCCGTCCCCATCTGCGTGCCCACGAAGGCATTTAGCTGACAGAAAAGTGAAGGTGACTAAGGATAACAGACTGACAGCCGCTAGGGCCACAATGAGGTAAAGAGTAAGGTCTGAACGCTCAGGTGGGTGTGTGAGGAAGTCGCTGGATTTGGGCATTTCCTCAGGGTCCTCATCCTCCAGAGCCAGCAGCACTGTGGCTGTAGAGGAGAGTGAAGGGTCACCATTGTCCCTCACCAGGACCACGACCCGTTGGATATCAGAGTCATCTTCCAGTAAGGCCCGGGCTGTGCGCACCTCACCAGTGTGTGCAGAGATGAGGAACAGTCCTGGGGCTGTGGACTGTGGCAACAGTGAATAGGAGAGCCATGCATTGTGGCCTGCATCTGCATCCACGGCTGTCACCTTGGTGACTAAGGAGCCAGGAGGGGCAGAACGAGGGAGACGCTGAGGGGCTGAGAGTTCTCGACCAGGCCGGGGGTGCAGCACAGCTGGAGCGTTATCATTTTGGTCCAGAACAAACACATGCAGAGATGTATTGGCATGCAGTGGGGGAGAGCCAGAGTCTCGAACCCCCACCACGATCTCCAGCATCTGCAGCAGTTCATAGTCAAAGGTACGCTGGGCAAAGACCCGCCCATCCTCAGGGTTGACATATACAAAGGAGGAGGCAGGAGCTCCCTGAATCTGACTCCCTATAATGGAGTAGGTGAGGCGGGCATTATCCCCAGTGTCTGGGTCCAAGGCGGCCACAGTGCATAGAAGAGAGCCTGGGGGCCGGTTTTCTGGGATGTAAGCAGTGTAGAGCTGCTGGGTGAAGTGGGGTGCATTGTCATTAATGTCTGAGATGTTGAGTCTGATGGTAAGATATGTGTGCAGGGGAGGTGAGCCAGCATCACTGGCCCGCAGCTCGATGATATAGTGTGATGTGGTCTCTCGGTCCAAGGGCTGGCTGGTTAACAGTGAGTAGTGGTTTTCAGAAGGTTTAATCTGAAATGGCAGGTCCAGAGAGATATCAAGGCTCACTTCACCATTTCTACCTGAGTCTCGGTCCCGCACATTAAACAACCCCACTACTGTGCCCACTGATGTGTTCTCCAGGACTGGGTTGACCAAAGAGGCCAGTAGCACCTCTGGGGCATTGTCATTGGCATCCCCGACATCCACTTGAATCACACAGTGGCCCTCCATGGCTGGCTGCCCCTGATCACGAGCTCTTGCATGAATTTCATAGAAACTTGAATCCTCAAAGTCTATGGGACCCAATACATGGATTGCTCCACTGCTGGGGTCTAGGCCAAAGAGATTTCGCACTGCCTCCGATGTGTGATCCCCAAAAGAATAGTCTAGTTGGCCATTGGTGCCCTCATCTGGATCGGTGGCATTGAGGCTAAGCAGCAGTGTACCTATGGGTGCATTCTCTGGGAGTCCAACACGCAGGACTGAGGACTGGAAGGTTGGAGCATTGTCATTGACATCCAGCACGATGACAGAAATACGGGTGGTTCCTGAGCGGGCTGGGGTGCCCCCATCCATAGCAGTGAGCACCAGCTGATGTCTTGCCTGGGTTTCACGGTCCAGCTGCTGCTCTAGCACCAGTTCTGGGAACAGCTTCCCATCTTTTAGGTTCTTCACATTCAAAGAGAAGTGGCCATTGGGGCTTAGAGTGTAGAAGCTTACAGTATTGGTGCCCACATCTGGATCCTGGGCGCTATCCAGTGGGAATCGAGCCCCAGGTGCAGCTGATTCAGAGATGCGCATCTCTCGTTTTGGGGTGGCAAAGCTAGGAGAGTTGTCATTGAGATCCAGGATCTGTACCTCTACACGGATTAGTTCCAGGGGGTGTTCAGTCACCACCTGTACTGGCAGCAGGCAGCTAGTACTAGCTCCACACAGGCTCTCACGATCAATCTTCTGATTCACTGCCAGAGCACCACTCACCAAGCTCAGGGAAAAATAGCGCCCGTTCTCCTCAGAGCCCAACCGCAGTCGGCGGCTCGACAGATCTGTCACCTTTAAGCCTAGATCCTGAGCAACATTCCCAACCAGCGTCCCCGGCTCAGACTCCTCCACCACTGAATAACGAAGCTGCCCAGACACCCAGCCCCAGCAGCACAAGGATAACATGCACAGCACTTGCCATTTCCCAGGGAGCTGTGGGGGTGTCTTGGGCCCCATGACCCAGAAGTCCCTTCCTGGACAGTGACTCTGGGCTGTCCTGTCTCCAAGGTAGACCCAGGGCTTGTAATGCAGCAGCTGAAATCTCTTATGTCTCCTTCCAGCCTCTTAAAAACTGCTCCGAGGTTTCCTGCCTGTAGCAGTTCTTCTTAGTCACCAAATGGCGGGGGTGGGTGGTTAGGGAGGGGAATTGAATTTGAGCTGGGGAGCTGGGGGAGGAGAGGCGGGCAGGAAGAGCAGATCCCCCACCTCGGCTCAGAGTCTGATTGGCCAAAAAGTCTGTCTGCTCTCCACCAATTATGAAGTCTCAGTCCTGGAAAGCTTAGGAACAGGCATTGCAAGTCTGTGTCACAGAAGCCTCCTACCTCCCCACTCATTTCGTGCTGCAGGTTGATTCAGCCCCCTTGGCAGCCAAGTATGACAGCTCAGATGGTGCTCAACAGGGAAGACAAAGTGGTACAAAACTCCTCAGTGTTCTGCCCCAGCAACTTCCTGGACGACTTCAGAAACTTCCACTACTTTGCTTGAACCAACAACAAAATGTGTCCTTCTGGGAGAGGCAAAACTAGTGTGTTCTCCCTCCCTCCCCCATCCTACCCAACACTGCTAGGGTGAGAGAAAAGATTTGTTAGGACCCTGAAAAGTCTTGCTCTGACTCCAGCAATACCTTGAAGAAAATCTCAATGTTAGCTGATAGCTATAGGACTCAGTTTTTCTGAGATCCTTGGACATGTGCTGTGGAATGAGCATCACAACTTGCATGTACGGGGAACATTTCTGGGGCTGATCCAGGTGACCCAAGAGGGTGGCCAGAGGTTTTATGGTTTCACCAATTCAGGATAATTCTACTTAAAAACCCCTACAGTGGCTGTCTCTATGAATTTCTCAGCCTTAATAAGTTTTCTAACATTAAGTGATTTCACTTACTGTTTTGTTTCCAAAGAGGCAATTCCCACCCATCCCAAATCTACTGAGTCTAATTCAAATTGCAGGAGGGACTTGATTGGGAGTCATAAAGACCTAGCCCAAAAGATCTCTGCTACTACCTTGATCAATGCCTCTCTACTCTTTTTTTTTTTTTTGGTGCTCTCTGTTGTGTTTCAGACAAAGAGTTCCCTTCACAGTGGGTCAGGGAGCACTAGATATTATAGGGGTGAAAAATCTTAGTTCTCCTCAATCCACTGGAAAATGGCAACCTGAAGTCAAGGTGCTCCAGAACCTGCCCCCCTAATTCATATGAAAAGCAAAGAAAGCAGCCATCTTGGTTTAGGTGTTTGCTTGGTGCAGCATAGCCTTATGCATGATAGCGTTCTATATGCCCATGTGCCAGCAGCATGCTTCCACAATAGCCAGACTCTTAGTCACCAATTACTTTCACTTCCTACTCTTAGATATGGCCATAACCCACCCCGAGTGCTAATCTGTGCCAACTCCCTGGTTAATTCATGAAACACTTCTAAAGCACAGCATCCACCACATAGTTACCACTCACAAAAATAGTCACATCACTATGGGCTCTTACAGAGAGGCCAATACTCTCTGGGACATGGCCCAGCCATGCATCTGCATCAGAACAACCCTCAGGCACTGGCCGAGCCTGCAAAGGTCTCACCTCTAGCCCATAGAGAAGATCAGAGGGCGGGCAGCTTGGGCGAACAGGCTCCCCTGCCATAGGTGCACTGGGCGACTTCACCATCATGAAGCTATCGCTCCGAGTGGGTGCAGAAGCCAAGGGTGTACAGCCATGAGAGTGGCCGCCCACATCAACAAACTTGATAGGATCATCTGACCCTAGCTGGATTCGGAGGATCCCATTGGAAGGAGGAAGCCCCTCCCTCCTTCGAGATCGGGTGAGACAGGCACAGGTGCCAGCAGGAAAGCAGGTCACTCCGCATGCAGCCCCACGAAGACACTTAGAGAGTAGTGCCACAAAGGAGCCAAAGGAGACAAAGCAAATTGCCACAAGGGACACAGCCAAGTAGAGGGTCAGACGGGATTCTCCTTCCCTTGGAGCTGAAGACTCTCGAAGATCAGGGACAACCGGATGAGTGTCTTCCTCCAAGGACACTAAGAGAGTAACAGAGGTAGAGAGTGGTGGGTTACCACTATCCTTCACCACAATGACCAGCTTCTGTGGTGGGAGATCAGCTGGGATGGGAACAGCTGTCCGCACCTCCCCAGCATAGCGAGAGACTGCAAACAGGCTGGGATCTGGGGCTTCCAGGAGCTGATAGGAAACCCAAGCATTGTAACCTGAATCCAAGTCCACAGCAGTCACCTTTGTGACTAGGTGGCCAGCACCAACTGATGGAGGCAGTGCTTGGGGACATAAGGAACCAGGCCGGGCCCGAGGGCGGAGTACGGCTGGAGCGTTGTCATTGAGGTCCAGCACAAATAGGCGAACTGTCACAGTGCTGCTAAGGGGTGGGTTGCCCCGGTCCCGGGCCTGTACCTCAAACTGCAGTGTCTGTGTTTGCTCATAGTCAAAGGATCGAGTAGCATGAACGGCTCCTGTCTGGGGGTTCAGAGAGATGAAGGAAGAAGCTGACACATCTCGGTTTCTGGGCTCTAGGAGAGAGTAGGAGATAAGTGCGTTCAAGCCAGAGTCTGGGTCAGAAGCTGCAAGGGAGCAAAGCAAGTCCCCTGGGCGATTGTTCTCAGGAACAAACACCTCATGTGACCTCTGGAAGAAAGAGGGTGGGTTATCATTCACATCTGAAATATTGAGGAAAATTGTCCTGTGGGTACTCAGAGGAGGGTTCCCAGCATCAGAAGCAGTGACCAGGATGTCATAGCTGGCTTTGGCCTCGCGGTCTAAGGTTCCAGCAGTCACGAGAGAGAACTGGTTTCTGAAGGCGGACTTGAGGGCAAATGGCAAGTGGTCAGGAATACGGAGGCTCACATCTCCATTTGACCCTGAGTCAGGGTCTTGCACACTGATGAGTGCCACCACAGTGCCAGGTTCTGCGTTCTCTGGGAGAGTACCAAGCTCTGAGGTCACTGTGATGTGGGGGGCGTTGTCATTTACATCCAAGAGATCCACCCGAAGGCTACAATGTTGCTCCATCGCTGGAGAACCCCCATCACGAGCCCGCACATCAAATTCGTAGTAATTCTCACTCTCAAAATCTAGGGGCCCCTGAAGGGTAAGCTTTCCAGTAGTGGGGTGCAAGCTAAAGAGGTTTCTCACACGATCAGGGGTGTGACCACTGAAAGAAAAGGTGACGTTACCACTGGGACCCAAGTCTGGGTCAGAGGCGTTGAGCTGGATGAGCACCATGCCGGCAGGAGCGCTCTCCAACACGCTAATCCTGTAGCTAGATTGCTGGAAGGCCGGGGCGTTGTCGTTCACGTCCAGCACCGACACCCGGAGCTCTGCTGTGCCCGACCTCGGGGGGTTCCCTCCATCCACAGCAGTCAGCACCAGGCGGTAGTCCGACTGTTTCTCCCGATCCAAAGGCTTCTCCAGGAGCAGCTCTGGGACCAGGCTGCCGTCGCTGCGCTTCTTGACATCCAATGCGAAGTGTTCATTGGAGCTCAGTCTATAGCTGCTGATGGAGTTGCTCCCCACATCTGCATCCTGAGCCTTTTCCAAGGGGAAACGCTGTCCTGGAGGAGCTGCTTCCCCAATTTCCAAGTCCAGCTGCTGCCGAGGAAATCGGGGGGCGTGATCATTCACATCTACGATTTCTACCTCCGCTCGGTACATCTCCAAAGGCCCTTCGGTTACAAACTCCAGAGGCACGATGCAGCTGGCACTAAGCCCACACAGTGCCTCTCGATCGATTGGATTCTTGATGAGCAGAGCTCCGCTGTCCAAATCCACACGGAAGTGTCTTTGGTTCACCTCTCCAGCGACTTGCAGCCTACGAGCTGACAGACTCTCTGTATCCAGCAGGAAATCTTGGGCGACATTCCCTACAAAAGTCCCTTCCTGTGACTCCTCTGGGACTGGGTAGCGGATCTGTCCACAAACATAACCCAGGTGGCAAAAGAGGAACAAAAGGGCAGCTCCCCGCCAGATTTCAACCCAGTTTCTCACCTTGCGGAGCATTGCTGCCTCCCGCCAGCTGTCTACCTAGTGCTGGCAAGCCGAAGAAGCCGACCCGCCCCAAATGGCCACAGCAGCTGGAGACACCGATCTCCCTTTTCCCCGCGCCAGCTCTGGCGCGGCTTGGCCGGCGCTGCAAGGGTTACGCGCCGTTTTTTGCTGGTGGCGGGGTAGATTTGTCTGCCTTTCACCATCCGATTGGCAGACAGCGGTTCCTAGGCTCAGCCAATAGGCTGAGCAGAAAACGTCCCAATAGCAGCAGGGTTAATGCGTCGCAGCATTGGAAGAAGAAAAAAAAAAAAAAAGAAAAGAAAAAAAAAAAAAAAAAAAGAAAAGAAAAGAAAAGAAAACCTTGTCTTTTCTCCTTCCCCAAGCTCAACAGCATTTCTTTCCACGGCTTATTACCTCTGTGGAGAAGCAGACAACATATATGTGGTTGGTTTTTTTTTTCCCCTAACAGACCAACTTGCCCGCCCCTTTTTGGTTGGGAAAACATGACAGCTGAGCCCTAGCAACCAGCAACCCAGAGAGCGAGTAGCCATTTAAGACTGGTCACTTTATTCAAGCCAGTGTTGTCATCAACCAATATTCTAAATGAGTAGCTTCTGTCTCAGTCTGACTGTATTAGAGCAACAGCTAATTAGAAGCACTGCCATATACTCAAAACTGCCTCTCTGCAGCATATTCAGAAGCGTATCCATCTCTTTGGAGAAAAGGTTTACACATTAATGTAGCCAATTCAATTTATGCAGTACACGTTTTGTTTTTAGTTTTTATTTTAACAGGAGGCGCAGCGGAAACAAAACCTCTCTTATTCGGAGACTTGGTAATGATGCATTAAAATGCCATTCATTGATTTCAACGACAGTATGGAAAGAGATGAAACAGGATAGAGGAAGCCAGGAGAGGGAGATGTTCCAAATCAGTAAAGAATCAGTGGGTCTGGAAGGCACTAAAGACGGTATCTCATTACCTGGCAGAATGCTAATGTTCACAGATTTAACAGCTTCCTTGACTGATTGGGATCAGCTACCAACAGCACTGTGCCTACAAATCCCCTTTATTTGACACCACTGCACGCTTGATATGTTGTTAATTACCACCAGAGACCTTTTTAAAAGAGTAAGCTTTTCACTTAGCCCCAGGGGGCCTCTAGGAACTGGCATCTAATCTCACCCCACCCCCACTCCCTATCAGACCCTCCCAGGAGTCTGGCCTTGCACAAGCCCAGAAACATAGTTCATTTCACACTGTAGGTACTTACAGCTGTAATCTAAGTGGCAAACACACCAGAGCACACATGCGTGTGTGCACGCACGTGCACACACACTACACAGAGATAAAAATCCAGCCTGAGCTAGATAGGAGATTTCTGAACTCATCCAAATCCTTACCTAGGTTACCACTGGCTGTCAAAACCAGCAGCAAAATCTGTTTTTTTCCAAAGCCTTGATCCTCAGGAATATCCTTTTGGCTACAGTGAGGCCACCAACAAACATGCTGGTCTCAAAGGGACGGATCTGGCTTTCTGTGTTCTTTTACAAAAAACCCCTAAACCTACATCTGTGGAAATGATGGAGGTATAAATCAGCCTGCCTGACTAGGTTTTTATGCCAGGATCTATTGTCTCAGTGTATGGCACCATCATCCATCTAGCTGCCTTAGTCAAAATCCTGGGGTCATCCTTGACTCATTTCTTTCCCTCACTCCCTGTATTATGTTAAACAACAAGTCCTGATGATTTTACTGTACTCATCTCCCTCCAACCACACCACCACTGTGCTGGCTCAAGTATTTATCAATCTTTTCCTCAAATACTGCAATAGCCTTCTAACTGCTCTCTTTGCCTCGAGTCCCAATATGCCCAATCTATTTCACTTATGGCTGAGAGAGTAATCTCTCTAACACACGCACACAACTGGTGACATCATATGTTCAAAATTCTGCAGTGACTATCATCTAACAGAATAAAATAAAAACTCTTTAGCATAGCCTAAAGATCATTCAGGATCTAACTCCTGCCTACTTGCTTCACCTCCTCTCCCACAAAGACACGCCCACTTTAAGGTTCAGCAACAATAAAATACCACACTTCTTCTGCATGGAATTTCTCGCAATGCCCTCTTTTCTGCTCTCTTTCCCTTTCCTCCTTTACCATTTGACAAACTGCTGCTCAGCCTTTAGTACAGAGCTCAAGCATCATCACCTCTGTGAAATCTTCCCTGATTCCTCAGTTTGACTCAGGTGTTTCTTCCTTTGTTTCCATTGCTTCTTGTATATGCAGACCTCTATTAGCATTTCTTTTTTGCATGTCTGTCTCCCATGGTATACTCTGTATCATGATGGCAGAGACTGTGCATCTAGCATCTAGCACCATGTCTGGTGCAGAAATGGTAAACTATTGATATTATCATTCATTAGTTCAACAAACATGTTGCATTGTGTTTCACGCTCCCCGAAACTTTATGAAGTAGGTATTACCTTTATCTTACAGATAAGGAACTGGAGTTTGGAGAGGTTAAATGACTTGTCTAAAACCACACAACTAGTATGTGCCTTATTGCTCCCTACTTCCAGCTTGGCTATAAGTAAAGCTGTTTTCTAGAACATCTTTAATTATGTTTCTACCAGTCTGTCATTCCCATAATCATAAACTGACCCTCTACTGATGCTTTTAATATCCAAAGACTAGCCCCTTATGGGCCTCAATCCCTTATATTTGCAAGTTCACACCAAAGCGAACAGGTATACCGGCTATTTTACTCAAATCAGAGTTAAATAAAGTCTTAATACCATAAGTCTTAATCCTATATATCTTCCAAAGCACCTACTGCTTTGGAAACCCAAGGAGGATTCACTATGAGTCAGATCCAACTCAATGGCAGTGTGTTGCATTGTTATTGAGATATAATTCACATACCATATTGTTGTTGTTATGTGCCGTCGAGTTGGACCTGACTCATAGCAACCCTTCCTTGGGTTTCTGAGGTGGTATCACTACGGAAGTAGATTGCCCAACCTTCTTTCTGAGGAGTGGCTGGTGGGTTTGAACCACCAGCTTTCTGGTTAGCAGACAAGTGCCTTAGGCACTATGCTACCAGAACTCCCACTACCATATAATCAATCCATTTAAAGTGTACAATTCAGTGGGTTTTTTTAGTATATTCACTAATATAGAATTAGAATTGTGCAACCATCACCAAAATCTAATTATGGAACATTTTTGTCATCCCCAAAAGTAACTACATTACCCAGTTGCCCAGGTGCTGTATATTTAGGAAGATTTTTTTCTTTGGGTGATTGAAATGCCATCTTATATATTCCCTACAATGCTCTTCTAGAGCTATTCTATGTAACACTTTATGGTTGGCAAATGACATTACAATACTCTGTAAGCTGAGTGTGGTTCAATAAAACTGGCTCTTCATTCTATGAATGCCAGAATAATACTTGCTCATAAATATGATAATCAATAGATTAGCAGTTTCTAGGGCAGTCATTTTCACACCTGTCTGCACATTGGAATCACCTGGGGATCTTCAAAAGTCACTGATGTCTATGTCCCACCTCTAGAGATTGTGCTTTTAATTGGTCTGGCATGGAGCCTCAAACTCCAAACCAAACTCACCGCCACTGAGTCTATTCCGACTCATAGCAATCCCGTTATGGAAGCAGACCACCTCATCAGACCACCTCATCATTCTTCCAAGGAGTTAAGGCCAAATGCCTTAACCACTACACCACCAGAGCTCCTGGGGTGTGGCCTACACACCAGAATTTTTTAAAGATCCTTAGGTGATCCTAACATGCAACCAAGTTTGAGAACATTATGGAAAATGACAGTTATTTTCCAGGCTGACCAGAAGAGCACCAACTTCTTTTCTCTGGCTTTTGTACTTGGTCATCTTCAGCTGTCCCCAGATTTGCTAATTTTCAAGGTGTGTTTAAGATTTTGGGAGGATGAAGAACTAATACAAATAATAATAGTAATAGCTAATATTTACTGAACACATATTCCCTTTTTGCTTATGAGAAACAGGCTTAGAAAGATTAAGTAACTTGGCCAACGACTTATAGTTGAGAAGTGGTAGAGCCTCATTTGCTTACCTACACAATCCCAGAGTTGATAGAAACAGCGTTTCCCATCAGTAACAATGTAACAGTGGTTCTTTCACAATTAGAAGCGTGCTTAAGTTTATCTGCTGGGCAGAGGACTTGCAATAACCTGCACAACATCCTGAATAAATGAAAGCTTTACTTTTCTAAGGATATGAATTTACCTGCTGCTCACATTATATATATACCTAGAGAAATAATGCTGGGAGGATAGAGAATGACACTGGGGTACAAAAGGACTTTAACTGTATACTTTGTTCTTTTCGACTGTCTGGGTTTATTTTCAAAATAAATTATTTTGTAATTAACAGTGGCTATCTTTGGGTTTAGAGATTACAAGTAATTTTAATTTTTTCTTTATACTTTTCTGTATTTTCTAAATTTTTCTACAATGCATAAACATTACTGTTACCATATAAAAATATTTTGTAAGTAAAGTACACATCATTTCTAGTATTGTTCTTGAAATAAAATGTAAAAGATGCCTAGAATTTTATTTCTTTCATAGAAAATTATCTGAAAATGAAGTACAGGATCTGTGTAGGCAAAGGAAAAATTATAAGCAAACTATTATTCTTTAATGCAGATGTACAGGCATTTGAAAGATGGATGAATGAGGTAGTTTGCATATTCCTAGCAGGTGCCATTGGCTAGAGACATCCAGTAGTTTATTCCTAATGCAAATGACATCTGGTTAATCTCTGAGCACTGAGATCTTGGGTTTTATCATCACAGTCCCTTAGCAACATTGGTTAGGTTTGATGGTGAGTGCTGAGGGTGGGAATTGGATCCACAGAGAAGCCAATTAACTCCACGCTGAAATGAGACCAAACCCCACACTCTAGCAGGGCTATCCTCCTCACAAAGGAGAAATTTGATCTAGGGAGGATCAGGTGAAAATGTGGCTACATCATCAGGAAAACATCATCATTTATAAAGGGGTCCTAAACTTTCCTGAACATGGTGCAAGCATCAATGAGAATTAATGTCCTTAAGGGCTGATTTGCTAACCCTTACCTGTCCGGGAGGGGCGCTCTCTGCTCCCAAAACCTGCCTATAGAACACAGGATCGCAGCTCCGCAGCGTGTTCTGGTGACTGGCCACAGGGCTGGAGGCACTGGGTTTCTTCAGCAGGGGGTCACTACGGCGTGAGTCCGTGGTGAGGTACACCTGATGGTAGAGGTGTGGCGGCATCAGGCCTCCCCGCACAGCATCTGCATGCAAGGAGGGCCCTGGTGTTCGGTACAGGGAGCTCACAGGGCCTCGGTATAGGTCCCTGGACTGCTTCCACTTGTAAACTTTGAATATGATCACTCCTATGACTGTGACTGCAAACCCCACGGAGACCAAGATTAGAGAGAGAAGTAGATAAAAGGTGAGATTTTTATTCTGCTCCCGGGAGTCAGAGCCAGAGGGGAATTCAGCCCGAGCCTCTGGAGATTCCTCAGTTATTGACACAGTTAGGGTTGCAGTGGTGGACAGGGAGGGTTCCCCATTGTCTGTGATCAAGACAGTGAGAGTTTGCCTGGGCGAATCTGTGTCCTGGACTGGGCGGGCAGTGGTTACTTGACCTGTGTGAAGCCCCACAGCAAAAAGACTCTTGTTGGAGGCTCCCAGGAGGCTGTAGGAAAGCCAGGCATTGTGCCCTGCGTCTGCATCCCAGCCTACCACCCGTGTGACCACGTGGCCCGCAGAGGTACCTCGAGGCAGTATCTCCATTGAACTCCTGCCTGGCCGGGGGTAGAGAACTTGAGGGGCATTGTCATTGCAATCAGTGACAAATATGTTCACGCTGATGTTGGTGGTCAGGATTGGGGCGCCGCCATCACTGATATGAGCTATTAATTCGAACTCCCGTCGATCCTCATAGTCCAGGGGCACCAAGGATGACACGACGCCACTGTCACGATTTATCGTGAAATAGCGGCCCACTAGTCCGGTTTCAGCTCCTTGCTCCAGGAGAAAGAAGGAAAGGCGAGCATTCTGTGGGGCGTCGGGGTCCCAGACACTTAGGTTTAGTATGGGAACTCCGGGGAGGTTATTTTCCTCAACGTAAACGTCGTAGGAAGATTGGGAAGATTGTGGAGGGTTGTCGTTGATGTCTGACACTTGGACCCGCACTGTCGTAAGGGCTGAGAGGGAAGGGGCTCCCGCATCTCGAGCAATGATACTAAGGTTGTATTCTGGCATGGTCTCCCGATCCATGGCTGCGCTGGTTTTCAAAGTGAAGTAATTCTGAAGTGAAGAAGTAAGGCTAAAGGGGAGACCTGGTGGAACCTCGCAAGTCACCAGCCCGTTCTCCCCAGCATCCAGATCGGTAACACTGAGCAAAGCGATAACAGTCCCTAGAGGGGCATCCTCGGGGACTGGACTGTACACAGAGGTGACTGTGATCTCTGGGGCATTGTCATTCACGTCCACAACCTCTACCAACACTTTGCAATGTGCTCCTTCGGGATTGGGGCCTTTGTCTTTGGCCTGGATGTAAATCTCGTGGAGTTTCGTGTCTTCAAAGTCCAGTTGGCCCTTGACTGTCAGCATGCCGGTTACAACGTCTAAGGCGAATAGTTGCTGCACGCCGGCACGGTTGTGGCTGCCGAAAGAGTAAATAACCTCACCATTGGGGCCTTCATCCAGATCCGTTGCACGGACCTGCACCACGCGAGTGCCAGGGGGTGCATCCTCCGGAACTCGCGCCCGGTACAAGGACTGGTTGAAGGCGGGAGCATTGTCATTTGCGTCCAGCACAGTGATGCGAATGGGAAGGCTGGAGGAGCGAGGCGGGGTCCCTCCGTCCAAAGCCGTCAGCAACAACTGAATACTTGGTTCTCGCTCCCAGTCCAGGGCTCGCTCCAGCACCAGCTCTGCGTATTTTGTGTTGTCCTCGCGTGTCTCCACACGCAGCGCAAAGTACTCGTTTCGGCTCAGCTCGTAGGTTTGTAAAGAGTTGCTTCCCACGTCGGGATCGTGCGCGCTCTCGAGTGGAAAGCGCGTCCCCGGCGCCACGGCCTCGCTAATCTCCAATTTCATTTCCCGGGTAGGGAAAGAGGGATTGTTGTCGTTGATGTCCTGGATCACCACTTCCGCTCTGAACAACTCCAGTGGTCTCTCCACTATCAACTCCAGAGTTACAGTGCAGGAGGGCAGTGTCCCACACAGCTCCTCTCGATCCAGGCGGTCATTCACAAACATCTCTCCGGTCTCCCAGTTCACCTCAAAGAATTTTCTGCTAGCTCGGGACACCACTCGGAGCCTGCGGGCTGACAAGCTGCCGAGATCCAAGCCCAGGTCCGCGACCACGTTGCCCACTGTGAAACCCTTCTCTCTCTCCTCCAAGATTTCATAGCGAATGACCGCAGACGCCTTGTGCAAGACACCAAGCAGAAGTAAAACTCCCACCACTCTCCCGGTGCTTACCAGTCCGTTCCTCCAGGCCTCTGGGACCATCTCACTCAAAAGTAGTTCCTCTCAGCTGGGTACAGATTGTCCCCGGCTATTTTGCGGAGAAACTTTCAGCGGGTTAGCGCTTGGGCGCGGGGCGCCGAGTCGGACATGGCTTTCTGGATGCCCTTGATTTGCTCGCCGGCTGTTCAGTCTCTGCCTCATCCCGGGGCTCCGAAAGGGGACGGGCCGGGGCCAGATCTCCAACCTCTTCATTGGACGACAGCGGCACACACAGTCCCAGCCAATAATTGCACGAAGAATGCGTTAGCGCCGGCTCTGTGAGCGGGACTCGCGCTAGTGCCAGGAACTTCACTTTCCTTTGGCTCCCTTCCAGAGTTTTCGGCCACAGCTCCTTGGAAGTATTAGTACATCGGAGTTTTACCTTAACCTAGAAAGCCAACTGCAGGGCGATGAAGCTGGCCGCTCTGCAAGGCTCCAAATCAAGTCAAGGCTTATTACACACTTTAATCTCAAGAAGGGGGATCAAACCAAACCGAAACGACACAACGTTGTTTGGAAAAACGCCAACAAATTTGAGTTGTTGGCGGACTGGGTAAAATCTATCCAGTCAGATCCTACGTGTAAGGAGGCAGTCAGCATTTCTGTGGAGATGTTTTGTAATTTCAGTTTTGTCTTTTACAAAATGAGGTGGTAGAATTTCCTGTCAGTTCCTCAGTGAGAATATCAACAAGAGCTACTATTCACTTGGTTTCACTCCTTACGGAATTTAAAATTTTAATTCAGATTTAAATTTTCTCTTAAAATTGGATATTGCTGTTTAGTTCTCATTTCTTAAGAACCAGAAAGTAAGGTGAAATTTTCCTACTTTGTGTTTCCCTAAGAGCATCATTTCAATCTAAGAGCATTTCAAATGCTTTCCTTTCTTGATCAATACTTTCTCCAAGATCCTGGATTGATATGCCATAAGAAGTTGCATTGCTAACAAAGGTTGACCAAAATATTAAAAAGCCACTCTATTACCACCTAGGACCTTAGAGATAATGGTAGCAAAACTCTATGAAGTCTTTAGAGGAAAACAAAGCCTTTAGCCACTGAATAAAAGTCTCAATCTTTCTGCATCTAGGACTGTAGTTACCATAAATAAATAAATAACAATGATTAGCATAATGAATAGGAGAATCAGCTATGAAAGAAACCAGATCTGAGTGGTATGTCCTTGGATAAGAAACTAACTTCTTGGGTTCCTGAGGCTTCTATCCTGTGAACAGAATGAGGCAGGCAAAGTGCATAGCAGAGATTAAGCCTCAATGATGCAAATCATCCTGTTAAGCACTACATGAAAAGTTTCAGAGCCTCACACTATTTCTGTAAACTTGTCTTGGACATTCTTTTAATTGTATATAGTCCTTTCTGAAGCATAAGTGTACCTTGAACACAGGCAGGTTGGTAGGCAGACAGACTAGATACAAAGTAGAAAATAAGTGTTTTTGGGATATTTACTGAAGACAGGAAAAGCCTCCTATGTCGCTGTTGTTATGTGCCGTGGAGTCGGCCCTGACTCATATAACCTTCCTCCATATGCCCTCACTAATGTAATCTCTTAAAATCTCCAGTTTTAAATTCAAGTTTGACAACTGGACACACCACCAAGAAAGCGGATATAAAGAACATATTTTATATATTTTAGAATGTGTGTGTATTGTTGTTAGATGCCATTGAGTTGGCTGTGAGTCATAGCAGCCCCATGTACAACAGAACGAAGCACTGCCCAGTCCTTTACCACCCTCACTTGCTATGCTTGAGTCCATTGTTGCAGCCACTATGTCAGTCCAGTTTATTGAGGGTCTTTTAACCTTTTCCCCTGGCCCTCCACTTTACCAAGCATGACGTCCTTCTCCAGGGAATGGTTATTTCTGACAAAATGACCAAAGGAGGTGTGACGAAGTCTGGCCATTCTTGCTTCTATGGAGCATTCTGGCTGCACTTTGTCCAAGATGGATCTGTTTGCTCTTCTGGTAATCCACGATATTTTCAGTATTCTTCACCAACACCACACTTCAAAGGCATCAACTCTTCTTTGGTTTTCCTTATTCATTGTCCAGCTTTCACATGCATATGAGGCAATTAAAGATACCATGGCTTGGGTTATTTCACCTTAGACTTTGAACTGACATCTTGGCTTCTTAACACTTTTTAAAAAGAAGTCTTTTGCAGTGGACGACATCTGATTTGTTGATTATTGCTTGTGTGGGTGTTGATCATGGATCCAAGTAAAATGAAATTCCTGACAACTGGAATCTCTTCTCTGTTTATCATGATGCTGCTTATTAGTCCAGTTGTGAGGATTTTCATATTCTTTATGTTGAGGTATAATCTATATAGAAGACTTTACATACACACACACACACACACAAATACACATGTGAACCCCCAACCTTCTGATTAGCAGTCAAAATGCCTTAGGCACTATGCCACCAGAGCTCCTTATAGATACACATACATATTTCTATACATAGAATATAACCCAGTTACTTGCTTCTTAAAGGGTGAGGGAAAGACCAGGGGCATAGGCATGACCTGGGAGCTTGTTAAAAATGCAGAAATTCCCTACTCCACAGCTGCTGAATGAGAATCTGCATTTTAGCAAAACACCTAATGATTTTAATTCATATTAAAGTTTGAGAAGCACTTGTCTAGTGAGTTATACAGAAACATACTAACTTACCAATCATTTTTTTCCATTCAAAATCCCTTAGTTTACAATCTTGTTTTTGCAAGCTATCTTTTATAAATTTAAGTAATTTTTCCATTAATAATAGGGGCCATAGTTTTGTTTTTTGTTTTTTTAAATCTTATTGTGGTTTGGGTGAAAGTTTACAGAGAAAATTAGTTTCTCAGTCAAAAATTTATACACATTTTGTTTTGTGACATTAATTGCAATCCCCTCAATGGAACAGCACTCTTCCCACTCCACCCTGGGTTCCCCATTTCCATTGACCCATCTTTCCTGCCCCCTTTCTGCTTTCTGAACGTTATTTTTGGGTAGATTTGCTGCACTTTTGGTTTTATAAGTATATTTATTGTGCTGAAAGGTGATCTCTGGGAGTGGGTTCAGTTCCAGGTTTGAAGGGTGTTGAAGGGTCTTGTGGGTCCCACCAGTCTCTTATCAGACCAGTAAGTCTGGTCTTTTTTTATGATTCTGAATTTTGTTCTACATTTTTCTCCTACTCTGTCAGAACTTTCTAGTGGATCTTGATAAGAGCAATCAGTAGTGTAGTCTGTCACCACCTAGATCTTCTGGTTTCAGGCTACTGGAGGCTGTGCTTCATGTGATCCATTAGTCCTTTGCACTGATTGTTTCCTTGAGTCTTTATTTTATTCAATCTTCTTTGCTCCATATGGGAAAAGAACAATAGTAGTATCTTAGAAGGCCACTTGCAAGTTTTTCAAAGCCCAGTCACTACTCACCAAAGTAGGATGTAGGACACCGTCTTTATGGACTTTGTTATGCCAGTTGACCTAGAGGTCCCCCAAGACTATGATCCTTATCCCTCAAGCCCAGTGACGCAGTCCCTCAAGGTGTTTGGTTATGGCTAAGAAGTTTGCATAATTTTGCCCCTTGTATGCCCTAGTATATATATACTACACTGGATACATTTGCAGCACATACAAATATCTATGTAGAAATATCCTCTGCCAAACCTGAATATACTTATTATTATACTCCCAAATGCTATCCCACACTTCCTCAGCTTACATATTAACCTATGTATCCACTCATTAAATTACTGTTTCTCATTACTGTTACTGCAGGATTGAGTATGTAATAGAATTTACCATTGTTGCCTTTTACTCTTTCACACTTCCTAGTGTTTTCCTTTGGTTTTGTCATGTTGTGCTGACATGCCATTATTGTATATTGCCTTTCCCTTCACTTATGTTAATACATGTCTACCATCTATATAGTTAGTGATTTTCCCTCCCACTCTCTCCCAACCCTGGTAATCATCAAAGAAGTTTCTTGTTGTGCATATGTATAAGTAGACTCAAACAATATTTGTCCTTTTGTGATTGACATATTGAACTTAGCATAATATCCTCCAGGTTCATCCATATTATGGATGTTTTCTGGATTCATTGTTTTTCTTTATTATTGTGTAGTATTCCATTGTGTGTATGTATTCAATCATCCATTGATGGGCACTTAGGTTGTTTCCATCCTTTTGCTATTGTGAACAATGCTCTGAAGATAAGTGTGTATATATCTATTTGTGTTACAGCTCTCATTTCTCTAGGACATATACTTAGTAGTGGGAATGCTTGATCATATGCTCACTACCATCAAGTCAGATTCGACTCATAATGACCCCTCTTTGAGTTTCCAAGGCAGTGTCACTACAGAAATAGATTGCCCAACCTTTCTTCTAAGGAGTGGCTGGTGGGTTTGAACCACAGGCCTTCTGGTTAGCAGTCAAATGCTTTAGGCATTATGCTACCAGAGCTCCTGCTTGATCATACAGTATCTCTTAACTTTTTAAGGAAGTGCCACACTATTTTCCACAGTGATTGTACCATTTTACGGTCCCAGTTTATGAGCATTCCAATTTCCCCACACACTCAACAAAATTTGTTGTTTTCTGCTTTTTCGATCATTGCTATTATGGCCAGCACCACTTGTCTGTCAGCTGGTTGTACTGTGTTGGCTTGTATGTTGCTGTGATGCTGGAAGCTATGCCATTGGTATTTTAAATACCAGCAGAGTAACCCATGTTGGATGGGTGTCAGCAGAGCTTACAGACTAAGACAAACTAGGAAGAAGGGCATGGTGGAACACTTCTGAAAAAAAAACTGGCCACTGAAAACCATATGATTAGTAATGAAACACTGTCTGATATAGTGCCAGAAGATGAGCCCCTGGAGTTGGAAGACACTGAAAATACACCTGGGGAAGAATTGCCTCCTCAAAGTACCTTTATGATGTGGATGGCACAAACCTTTTGGGACCTTCATTTGCCGATGTGGCATGACTCAAAATGAGAAGA